AGAAAAAAGTCTAAAAATTTTTTATATAAAAAAAAATTAATATAATTTATATATATTATTTATATATGTATATATTATATATATATATATATATATCATATTATATAGATATATTTTGATATGCATAGCGCCAAAAAAAGCTGACAAAAAACGTTACATGCTTTTTTTTAAAAGGGAAAAGGGAAGGGATAGTTTGAGTCGAGTTTTCATTGTTAAATATTGATGCAGAATGGAGTTGCAAAGTTCAAGCTATGGTATTACATATATATGAGAGTCGGGTTCTCCTTTCTCGCGTGAGTTTAAATCAGGTTCGTGATGCGCACTTGTCGGGAGTAACTTGTGGTGCCTGCAAGTCGTGACTGCGTACAACAGCTGTCTCCATTGCTACCATCAAGCAATAGCGATATGTTGCAATTCACGCTTCAAACACTCACTTGTCCTCTCCCACATGTTCTCGTGATTATAAAAAATAGTACAAGACTCTTCAATTTTTTCTTTAAAAAAAAAAATTATCTGACGTTTACAGGATAAATAATTTATTGCTTTTTCTTTATATTGGAGGAGAAAAAGATTTTCGAATTTTCGGGTTTGTCATAATTAAAGGAGTAGGAAAAAATTTTTTTTCAAAAATTTTTTTTTTCATAATTAAAGGAGTAGGAAAAAATTTTTTTTCAAAATTTTTCAATTTTTTTTTTAACTACAAAATCTAAGAAAAAAATTCAGAAATCATTATGGACAAGAATTATCACTCGTTGGTTGAGGTCGACAAATATGTTTATAAATTATTTTAATTAATACTAATTACAAATTTGATTTTTCGTGAACAACAAAATAATAATTGATGATTTGATAAAAATTTCAATTTGTTGATTGAAAAAAAATTTATTTAATTCGATATTCAGCCCTTGCAATCACACATTGCTTACTGATTATTTATTTATTTAATTTGTTAGTGTCAAAAGGGTTTTTTATCGTTTTATCAGATTTTTCGATTTTTGAGGTGATCTCAGAGTGAAATGATGTCTCAATAGTTCAGGTGTAAAACGTATTTTATTAAATCCCTTTGGCTTCGCTAAACCAATACGAGTCGATGGAAAATTGTCATGTCCCTTCGCTCGTTCCTCTTCTCACATACGTTACATGTGGTAATGCATAATGCGACGAGATTCTATTATGCGATTACACTTGAAACTTCTTTGTGTTTGTCTGCATGCCATTGGCTTCTGCATTAACTCAATTACACGCCGTATTTTTTTCGCTTCCTTTCCCTCAGTGATGATGATCTCTATTGACAGTTTAAACCTCTGGGAAAGCCTCGCAGGAAATTGAGTAATAATCCACGATTAATTACGGTAATTACGACTAATCGCGTGAAAAAGTTATGATTCCCATGAGAAAATTCTAGTAGCTCATAAAAATTCATTGATTTATCGAGAACCATTGGTTTGAGGCGGAAATGGTAGAGGACTTTTTTGGAGGTAATCAAATTTTGGAGGGAAAAGGTCTTTTTGGATTTTTTCATGGGGGTGAGGGTTTTCGAGGAAAAGGGAGAATTTCAGAGGTCTTGGAGGTCTAGGTGCCATGCAGTCTTTTTATTTCTATTTAATCTATCATTTTATCTGAAATTCATATCCATGGGATTAATCTATCATTGGTTGGGGTCAAGCTAGGTATTTTCTCAAGCATTGTCGATCAAATAATCTCCACACTCGGCTTTCAAAACTTTCTTCAATAGGTGTGTCTTTACTCGCGACATCGATAGTCTGACCCATTTCGCTTTTCTTTACAATTTTACGTGACTAGAAAATTTGGAAAATTTTTTAATTGATACATTAATATTCACCTACTATTTTCCCAAGACTTCTTGGAGATCTCTGGATTTTTTCTCTTTGGAGTTTTTAAATGGGAATTTTTTAAAACAATTTCTTATTAAATTGATGAAGTAATCGAGAAATTCTTCATTGGAGAATTCCATTTTTTTTTTTTTTTTATTGGAGGAGGGGATAATTGGGGTAGTTGTTAGCGTCTTGTCTCGTGGATTTACTAACGAGCAGTCTGCATTATTAATTCAATTAACGGCAATGTGGGTCCGTGCAAGCTATTAACTAATCGGAGCATGAAGTGGGCGAGTCAATATAATCGGTTGTTACTGTTGAGAGATCCATTGCAATACCGTTTGAAGTTCTTGTAATTAATTAAAAACTGCCTCGATAACTCGAGATTATCGAAAAACAAAGATGATAATTTAACCACTGGTCAGAGAAATTTATTTCCCTCAATTTTTCATTTAATTTTTTCTACAGCATCTTTAAAGATTTATTTTTTTTTCTCGTTTCAGGCTACGAGAAAAATATCCAAATATGGCTACCTCTTCGTCGCACCTGGCTGGGACTTCTCGAATCCTCTCAATCGAACTAAAGTAAGTGCAATAATATTTATAACAATCGCATTTTCTATTTTTTCATTTGAAAATGCGTGAAACTGCGCCAGGGGAGACAACTACTCATTTATCTCGAGAACCATCGACTTGCAGGAAAAAAGTCATCAAACCTAATTTGTAGTCCATGAAATTTCCGATGAAAAAGATTTTTTCATATTTCTTCCTCAAGTCAGTAGTTATCGAGATAGATCGATATTTATGGGGGTAAAGTCCTTGGAGGGACACGATCATGCGCAATTCCATCGTCACGGATAAATATATTATAAATATTTAAAATATCGGCAAAGACTTTGCAAAAATATCATTCACCTAGTTATTCTCGTATGACCCTCAAACTTCATGAAACGGGTTACGAGAGTACGAGTGATTTATCTTTAGAGTACGTGCACTGAAAAAAAAAATGCAGGAAAATTCGTTGGAAAAAATTTGTGGTCGTCATCTCAGTAAAAATGTTCCCTTCACGTAACTCAAGTGACAGGTGAACAATTCCAATCATTATTTCTTCATAATGAAAGAAGTAGAAAGGCGTTGCCTAGAAATTTCACAGAAATCTCACAGTCTGTGCCACGCACTCTTTCACTTTTCTCCTCTTCTCCACAAACTTGATAAACTGGTACACGAAATCATACCCCTAGATAGACCGAGCACTTTTATAAATATTGCTAACCGAGTTAATAATCAGTTGGTAATAATTTATAGCAGAACTGTTAGGTTTCACTTCCACCGGATGTTGGGCGCATTCTCAGTCGATCGAAATTCTATTCAGAGGATAGTAGCTTTCTTTCCATGGGAAAATATCCAAATCTTCAACAGAATATCTAAAAAAAATTTTAAAAATCGCGAATCGTTTCTCAATAAATTTTTTAATCAGTTTAAAAAAAATTAAATTATCGATTTATGGGGATATAAACAATTTTAATTGATCAATGAGATATCGTGTCGCCATCTTGTTTGGATTTCCCTCTCCCCATGTCCTCAAGGTTTTTTAAAATGGCGGTCCCTCCACCTCGCATTTTTAAACAATTGTTTTAATTATTTACTCTCTTCGGATCATTCTCAATTTTTGACTGCGTATTCCGGTGGAGTGAACAATTTTTTTCACCCATCTTGCAAGTATTTCTATTTTTTTTTCGACTGAGAATTCAGGCAACGGAATTTTTCCCGCGTGTCGTTAGAACGTTTGATCGTGGAATTTGAAGACGTCATAAAAATTTGCTTAAAAAAAATTGAAAACGGGTAGAGACCGATCCGTTAGATGGCAAGAATAAAATATTTCCATGGGATAAAGTTAAAAAATTGATGAAGAAGGCTTTTTCACACGACCTGAAGTAACTTTCCCTTGCCGATTGCATTGCGGCGCGCGCATCAAAAAGCCAGCATCGATGGGATAATATTCCTGTCTCCAGTTGTATATCTCCCTCCACTTTTATCTCGCTCCATGATTACTGGGTTTCTAAAATAATATACAACACGCGATGACTTACCTCGCACAGGCACCTTTACACCTACTCCATTCAATTGTCGGTGAAAATGATTTATTGGCCGTTTTGAATCATCGAGACCGATCCCCCCCTCGTACCCCTCTTCACTCCCCCTCACCCCCACCCCCTCGTGCATTTCAATTGAAAAACCATTGAATTTTCGCGACATGCTTCGGAGTAGAAAGCGTCTTCTCCCTTTTAAAGACCGCTAGTTTCTCTCGCAGCAATTGTTGCTCTAACTTGAATTAACCCGATTACATCGTGACCAGTTTGGTTAATCTATTTTGAAATTTCGTCAGTCTTTTAACACTCGGATCAATCAATATTCTATTTTTGGAAGGGGTGACACAGGAAGTACACATTGGGAATGGAAAATAGAGGCGATGTGAAAGTCACGCATCCGGAGGAATGATTTATTTTTGTCGGAGGAAGTTTATTTCATTTGAATCTCACGATTAAAAATTTGCGTTGAAAAATAAATTGAATGAATTTCTTTTTTTCTTTTTTTTTTTATAAATCGAATTGGTTTTTAGTTTTTAGTTTAAATATCGGGCGGGATGGTCCGCGCGTGCGCAATACGTGGATTCATTCGAAATGTTTGAAATTTTGACACCATGGCGCGGTGGCGGGTAGGTTTTGTCGTACGGGGGTTACCCTTACGGTCATTCGAGATATTTCGAGATAATTCGATATATTTCGAGATCGATTTCTTTTCTCTGTTTTTTTATACTTTTAGTGCCTGGCAAAACGTTTGCAGATTATTATTTCCTATCTTTAATTCGATGACAGAGTAAAAATCACCAGATAATCGGTCTCGCATGGTATATCGATAGTTTCACAATGAAATCTAAAAAATTATTATTTGATAATCGCCAATTTTCAAACGATACAATATCTCTAGCCTCTCCTTTAATATATTGAAAAAAAGTAAATTGTAAATTAAATTTTTTCATATTTCTTTTATTAAGACAGAAATTTGGTGGTTATGTTAGGATTTATGGAAAATATAAATAGAAATTGGAGGTTAAAAATTGAGAAAAATAGAGTGGGGGGAAAAGGACATCGCGATATTGATGATTTTATGCACGGAGATTTCTCGTTACATAAACGGGAGAGGGACGAGCACAACAATCTGTAAATTATCGACCTTTTCTACTATTGGTGAGAAAATATCGTCAATTGCGTTGGTAGGAGTCGGGATATTGTGGCTGAAATTAATGCATTGATCACCGATAACGATGTCATTTCTCACGGTATTCCTTACGTAACATTAGATTGGCAAGGGTCGACCCTCTCCCGGAAAAAAATTCCCTAGCAATTTTTTTCAATTAACAAAATTGATTCGTGGCACGAAAAAAAAATTATTCACTGATTTCTCGATGGATTATTCGAGTGGAAATTGAACTCAGCTACTGACCAGATATTAATCCGATTTGAGATCAGGTATTGCGTTTTCGGTTATGTTCATTCGAATTTCCCGCGCAATCCGCCCGCCAATGACACGCCGCTGTTACGTACTTCGATATTTTCGATATAATCGATTCGATCATTCCCGGGTCTTATACCAGGTGCGGCGGATTGACTATTAAAGTTTTCAAAAATTTAATTGATTCATTGACAAATGAGCGAATATTAATTTTCCGCGATCAAAATAAAAAAAACAAAATAAATTTTATATAAAAAAAAAACAAAAAAGAATTGAAAAAAATGTCTCTCATAAAAATGATCATTTTTCTGATTTTTAAAATATAATAATATATAAAAAAAAATTTGTTTAATTACAAAAGACTATATATATATGTACATATATATATAAAATATTTTTAATCAGTCTAATATTGATTATAAATATTTTTTTTGTATTTATATTTTATAACTTGAACTTTAAATATTTTTTTATCTTTTATCTGACAAAAAGCGTTATATCCTTTTTTTAAAAGGGAAATGATTAGGATGATGGGTGAAAAATCCTATAAAAAAAGGGGCTTTCCATGCCTGACCGTACCTAACCCCAGCTTGATGTCAATCCATGATCTGATTTAAAATTTCCCCTCGGGCAATGACAGTGAAAAAATGAAAAATCATTGACTGGATCCCCGAAATAACGAAGTCAGTGATAATTCCATTCTCGTGAATACCTGATAGTTGTATTGAATTGTAAATAACTGTTCTCATGACTGAAGCCTGAGCGTTGAACCTGTCTCTTAAGGGAGTGAGACGCAGAGGCTGAGACCCACCTACATGCGCGCGCAGGTCATACCACTATTAGCCATCTACCGTTACAATAAATATACAGAGAGAAAGATATCTACGATGATTTTTAACCCATCGATTTGACCCACTAATGATCAATTCACCTAGATTTAACCTGAAAAATAGGGGAATTGATTTTTAAATGGGCTGTTTAGAGTTGGTGTGTCGTATCCACAGGTGGATCGATGTTGGTATGCCTTGTTGAGGTACATACGTATATACATAGGGTATGTACACAGTATGTATCCTATCGAGGCACAGTGTTACGGTAGGTTATGCCGTGCATTCCAGTCGCGGTCAACGAACCGAGACAGCACCAACACATTCATGATAGGCAGAGGTTTATAAACCTCACTACCAGTTTCAGGGAGTAACTCAGTTGATACTACAGCTAAATCCACCATTTTCCTCACCAACTAGTTGATATCCTCTCTTGACACTGTCCCTTTTCATTTCCGCCTCAATTTAATCAATCATTCACTCATTGACATTTTATTACTGCGCATTATGTTGGGCAGAAGAAATTTATGAGCTGATGGAAACTATTGGACAGATCTATTTCCAATTATAATTCAGTGGTAATGATTATTAAAATGGGGAGGAACTCATGAAACTGATGAAACATTGATGAGTCTGATTGAATATTCAGTTAAGGGCGAGTGAAAATGGCGGAAATGGCGGGAATGACGGGAAGTTTAATTGAAATTCAATCTAGTGTTGGTTTTTTGGAATGTCAATTTTTTACGTCGACTCCGGGGATCGGAAACTCCTGGGGGATGGGAGGGTATCATTTGGGGCGTGACGCTAGAGCATTTTTTTTTTAATTTCACCTGAAAATCGGGGATTTTGTTAGAAAATTATAAAAGTTTCACTTCCACTGCGAGAGGAGTCCTTGCGGGTCTCGGTGAAAGTTTCATAATGAGAATGCTATCCGGTGGCATTTTGGAGGACTTACCAGAGTACATAATAGTATATTGTGTTAAAAGTGCGGAGAACGGCGGATTTTAACACGTGCCACTGTCTCTTGTCGCGATGAGACATTCCATTTTCCAAAAGGTCCACCAGACGTTGCGAGTAATCAAAAATAATTCATTAATTATATGCGAGACCTACTGCGCATTCTGTGCACCGAATTTGAATTTGGCGGTTCGACTCGACCAATGACAATCAGTCCTACGCGTTTCGAGATATTTCGATTCGGGCGAACTTCATTTTTGTGTTTTAACTTTCATAATGAGGACGAGACCTACTGCGCATTATCGTGCGCCGAATTTGAACTTGGCGGTTCAAGTTGACCAATGAGGAGTCAGTTGTACACGTTTCGAGATATTTCGACTCGGGCGAACTTCAGTTTTGTGTTTGTACTTTAATTTTAAGGATAATAAGGATGAGGAATAATTATAATAATATTTATGAGGAATAATTGATAGGGAATTGGGGAATTTATCATTGCATACGTGAAAATAGAATAAATGGGAAATCATGTGGATGAAAATAAATGAAGAAAATATTATAATCTTGTTGCAGAGGTGGCAGCGAAGGTGGTTCGTGCTGTACGATGATGGAGAGCTGACATATTCACTAGATGAACACGTAAGTGAACGATAACTGCCCTTAATTAATTCATTAAACATGACACACTTGGCAGTGCCACTGGGCTTGTCGTAATCCCTCGATAATGAAGCATCTGACACCTCAGCGTTATCAAAAAATACTGACTCGCGGTATTTATCATCTTGTTTGATGTTTCTTCTTTTCGATATAATTTTTCTATCGTGAGATAGAAATTTCAGCTTCAGATTCAGCTTTGAAAATCGCTAAAAATTTTCGGGAAAATTGACTTTTTCCTGCAATATTTAGTATCCGATATCTCGCGAATTAACGATGATAAAAATAGAGGGTAAAATGGATCGGGATGCCCTTTTCATTGCCCAGATTTCGTATTTTTTCTTTTTTTGATATCATTTTTTGATTCAGAGATATTCAATATTAAAAATGGTTAACAATTTCCATGAAAATTGGCAATTTTCCTTCAATATTCTGCAGCGGATATTTCGCGAATCAGCAGTGATAAAAATAAAAAATAAAATCCATCGAAAAGCCCTTTCAATCGCCCAGATGTGATATTTTTATTTTTTTTTATATCATTCTTCTATCCAGAGATATTCAGCGTTGAACATTGTTAATCATTTCCTTAAAAAATTGATAAATTGATAAATTGCAAAATTGATAAATTGAAAAATTGAAAAATTGAAAAATTGATAAATTGAAAAATTGAAAAATTGAATGTTCCAGCCGGAGACTGTACCACAAGCGAGAATTGACATGACACGAGTTCTGGAAGTAGCTGCAGCTGACGATGTAACAGGCCATCCCAACAGCCTCGCCATTACGTCACCCGACGGTGTGACATTTATCAAAGGAACTTGTCGAGAGGAGACAAGATGGTGGGGAGATGTCCTGCAAGTTTACTCCAGGAATAAGGTAAATACCCAAATTGTTTATTAAAAAAAACAAAACGTATCCCCATAAAATCATCGAGTTCGCGTAAAAAATATCGATATCGTAATTAATCCTGGAGCGTAGAAATAAAAAAAAAGATTTTTATCCGGCGAATGGCGGACGGACAAATATTTCCTAATAAAATTCCATCGAGACTTCAATAAAATTATCGTAAAAGTTAGAGCAAGCGCATGTTTTTGAGTATGAATTTTATCATACGAATAAATTGAAGAGATCTAGATGACTGCAAACGAGGGGAAATAATCTCAACAATTTCAACGTACATCCTGTCTATAATTGACATGTCTTACATGAATGCCCCGACCCCTCAGCATTTCAAACCTCAATTGAGATCGCTGTTGTGAAAATAATCCCTGATAAACATTCTACTGGTTTCTACATACACCCGTCAACGTAGAAAGTACAAACACCATTTGCGCATTCATACTTACGCCTTTGAATTGCGTGACTGGTGTTCTGTTTAGATGGTGAAAAAATAAAAATAATCTACCACACGTGTGTCAAATGTCGTATTTAGTGTCCCTGGGGGAATATATGTAATTGTGAAGAAAGGTGACAGCGTTAGGAGGCCAAGGCGGTGTACGTATATTGCACGATCATTTTATAAACAGAGCATCGCCTTTTTAGTTTAACCCACGGTTTCACCTTCTATTACCTTATTACGCATATGCCAATAGTTCAATGAAATATCGATTGCATTTGTAGTTGAACTTTTAATAATAGGGGAGTTTAATGGGATTGGAGATAAAGGGGAAATTATAAGCCAATGTGTCACCGAAATCGTTGAAAAATGGCTCTAAAAAATTGTTCACTCGGTAGAAACAGAATGAATCGACGTGAAATTTATTTGAAGATTACGAACTCTTTTAATTGCTCTTTGAAAACGCGAGGTGGTGAAAGCGTCATGTCAGTGGCGCACTCTTACTTGGGAATCCCCTCTCGTCGTTGCCAGGGGTTTCAATATGGCGGCGTGATTTCAAATAATTATTTTTTCAATTCCAATTCAATTACTCTGTTAAAATAGAATAATTCAGGTACATAAATCGCGAAATTCATAATTAGAAAATTTAATTCAATTTCTAAGGATAATATTCATAAATTATAATTGCACTACTTTGAACACTATCATCCCTAAATAATAGACCCATCACCGGAGGATGTGGCTCATCAGTGGTTTCCGGATCCCCTGCAGATGATTAAAAAAAAATAATCTCTAATTGCAGGGAAGACACAAGAGAAACGCAACATTTCCTGGTGGGCAAACGACTATCCTGCAGGTGTCATCAGCAATAAGAAGCAACACACCGGATCCCCTGCGACCGCGATTCAACAGCTGTCGTTCAGAGAGCCGAGGTACAGGTTGGTCTGGTGATGTGTCAAATCACTCATCAACTGGTTCATCAAATGATCAATACCAAGCGCCAGTAACCCGAACTCCATCGATATCATGCGTCAGTGATAATGGATTAACAAGAGGCAATGTTGTATCACCAGTGAGAAATTCTGGTATCGATAATGGAAGTGTTTTTAATTATCCTGGTGGACAATCGGTAGCAGTCAATGGTGGTATTGTTCAGAGATCGGGTGGTAGTGTTGGTACATCAACTGGTGTTGTCAATTCTGAGAAAGCCAGTGCTCTGACTGGTACCAATGAGACCAGATCTTATCTGGATCATCCAGCTAGCTCTGCATCACCACCAACGCGGGATAAATTACGCGCCGAGGATAAAGCAAGACGGCGAATGAGTCAGCAGACTGAGAGACCATCAACTGGCATTGATACACCGGAAAAACTGGGTCAGTTGGTGATTTTTTCTCTTTTATTTTTTGTTATTTTCATGATTTTTTATTGGTTTTTATTACTCAGGGAGGGGTTTACTCGTTAATTCATCAGGGACACGCGTAATAATTTATTACGCAATATCGAGATGTCAAAATATCACGTTTTTTTGATGTCCTTCAGCTTTTTCTAACGATTTACTCAGTGAAATAGAACATTGCGGTATTTTATTTGTTGAATCAATAGTTTTAGAATTATTTATGATTGAGTCAGGCGGGGAATGAATTTTTGTTGGGATTCTAGTCGGATTCTCGGAGTGGAATTATCGGAATTTTATTGCGAGGGAATTTCTAGGGGATTTATTTATTGTGGTGATTCATCGTTATCGGACGAGTGGCGAAATCGTAATATTTATTTTGTGACGATCAAGGCCTGAGTGTTACTCAATATTTGGGGAATCAATCTGGCGTGGGGAAATTATTTACGCGTCATATTTCAATATTTTTGATGAGACGGAATGCTTTTTGGGATTTAAAAATCGTAGAGGGTGTGGATAAGGGAAAAATGGAAATGGAGATGAAAATGGAAAATTTGTTGACCGCATTATTAAAATAAATCCCATAAAATTCCAGGGATGATTTCATGCTCTTGAGGATCGATAAAAAAAAATCTAGTGGTCTATTTTCGAGTGAATCTGACACTCGTTAAATCATAACGGCATCATCAGACTCAGCGATTTAGCGCACCCCATCTCCCCGATATTTACATGAATCAGCACTTCCTAAAGGATTCGCTGCGGTTATTAAATTCTCCATTTTTATTTCAATTACTGTCTCATAAAATTCATAAACAAATCGATCGATAACGATTCAACGAACCGCCGAAATTAATCAGTCGGTCCAATCATCAATTCGATTTATCTATTCTGTTATCAATATTGATTTGTATTATATATCTGATTTATATTATGTATCTAAAAATACTTTTGCTAAATATCGCGTGTTTGAAGGGAAAAAGGGATTGAAGGATCTTTTGGGATCGAATTGTTTGAATATCATAATCCACAGTATTTTTATATTTTTTATATGAATTATTTGATAATTCCAGATGATGAGGCGTGCAGAAGAATTTTATTGGAGCACGAGCGTGAGCGTGAGGGTAAATTGCGTGATATTGCTGTGTCGCTGACTCAGCCTCGGATACGTCGAGCAAAATCGAGAAATTCGGAGCCGACGCGTGATGTAGTCGATAACGTCAACACTCACCAGGATAAACTCGTCAGGGGTGATCCTGATGGTTGTGGCCTCGATATATCTGGTATCAGGTATTCACCTATATCGGAATTGCGAGTTGATCTGCCTGCTGAGGATCTTCTGAATATCAAGAAGGGGTGGCTGATGAAGCAGGGGCTCAACAATGAGTGGAGCAAGCACTGGTTTGTTCTTCGTGGGTGTGGACTCATGTACTACAGAGATCCCACCACCGAGGATAAAGGTAAATTATTTCAATTTAAATTCATTAATCCAAAAATCGGAGATATCAATTTTTTTGGCGATTGAATTCTATTTTTTTTTTATACATTTATTTTTTTATATTTCCGGAATTTTTGAGAAAAAAATCGCCATTTGGGGAAAGTTGGACGCCATTTTGTGCGGGTTTGCTATCATAATTTAAAAATTAATCATATGATCGAATGATCTATCGACTCCTCTCTGAAAATCGATTTTTCTCTCATTTATTCCGAAGTATTTCATTCTCTTTTCTCTTTTCTTTTTGTTATTCCTCTTTCTCTTCTTCCTCTTTTCCACTGCAATATCAAATTACATTCAATTTTTTTTCTTAATTTTCAACTCCAGGTATCATGGATGGTGTGATAGATCTGAATACCGTTACAGCTGTATTACCGGTGCAAGTGGCGAGAAATTATGGATTTCAAACAGTGGTAATTATAACTTTGTACTGCATATTATTTTTTTATTCTCGTGAGCACTTGCTAACGGGAGAGCAATCCTCTGCATGATTTTAACGGAGCAGCTAGTTAGAGCTGAGATAAAAGAGAACTGGTCAAAACGATAAAATAGATTTTCCTGGTATTTCATTCTTTTCTGATCATTCGATTCGCGAATGATATGCCCTAGGACGATATGAAAGAATAAACTAATTAATTAACAGGATTAATTCCTCATCTTCTATGAAAAATTGTTGTCGTAAGGGCGGCGGACCTCGATATGTACAAGAAATCTGAAATGAAAAAATATACATGAAAAATGTATAATACGGAAAAATTGAAAATTCTCCCTGATATATTTACTGACTACAAATAAATATATCTTGCATTACCATCTCTTATGGGGGTATTTATGTTGATTTACTAGCGGCAAGTAAATATATTAGGCGGAAAAAAATTATGTAGTATTGATGGAGTCGGATAGCTCAATTGGGTGAGCGCCCGGCGCGTAATCAGAAGGTCGCAGGTTCGAACCCCCGGTCTGCAATTTTTTTTTTTTCAAATTTTTATCGTAGAATTATGCTGAATATTTATTTTCACCAATTTAATAAACTAATTCAACACTCAATTATTGAATGTTGCAGACGTGGGACGGTCGAGGGACAACTGTATTTTCCGCGGTAACAGCTGGTATACGATCGAGCTGGGTGTCAGCTATTCGTCGTGCAGCTAATCTCCTGGATACCGATGACGTTATCGTGGATGGTCTCCTGTGTCACGGTAATCAACAGCAAGATCCGAGTAAGAGTCAGTCACCAACAGTGTGAGTACCCAATGAATTTATTTATATAATAAAAGCGCGATTATCATTCCGTAATTCCCAAAAGCAATGAAATATCCTGGGAATCCCCCAGATCTATGAACGAGCGGGAGGGTGATTCAGTGATACAATCATCAGTGACCCTGACCCCGCGTTCCGTGCTCTTCTCCTCGGACGAGGAGTACAGAACAGCATCAGAGGGTGGTAGACGTGAATCAGGTGATTGGTCAGAGATACCAGTGACCCCACCCCTGAGAAACCGTGACTGGCCACTGAAGGTTAACAACTGGTCTGACGTATCGACCCTGGAGTGGTCTGAGTTACCCCCATCACCACCTCTCACACGTACGGCCTTGTCACGCGTCAAGGCCCGTTCGCGTTCCAATTCACGTACACGTGTGTACAAACGCACCAGGAGTTCACCACCTAGCTCACGTCATAGCACCCTCGACAGCGTACACTCTGACGATCTCATGATGGCGTGCTGTGAGCTCGAAGAGGATCAACACGATACACCAAATGAGACACCACTGATTGTCGAATTGCTGGAGAGTCAGGTGACGATACTGAAAGATCAACTAGCCCAGACGGATCATCCGGGTAGTCTTCTGGTGATAATTGATCGTCAGAAGAACGAATTGGCGAGCCTCAAGTCGCAGTATCACGCAACCAGGTCTGAGTTGTCGAATGCCGAGATGGAGCTGTCGAGGCTCAGGCAATATCGTGGTGATGCTGCCAACAGGGAGAATCGTGTTGAGGAGCTGATGAGTACAGTGCAGAGGATGGAGCAGCAGCGGATGAAGGACGTGGAGGATTTTGACAAGATGAAGAAGCTCATCACCAGGGAGAAGGATGTGATCGAGTGTAAATTGCTGGAGACTGAGGCGATTCTCAGGGAGACCACTGAGAGGTGTGAGGCCCTGTCGAAGGAGTTGTCCTCGAGTCATTTGACCGTCGAGTGCCTCCAGAAGGAGATCAGCCTGTTGAGTGACAAATTGTCCCAGGGAATTGAGGAGAATGACAGGATCTATGAGAGAATTAGAGAGCTGGAGGGAAAGAACAGCTTGTCGGTGTCTCGAGAGCGGGGTAAGAGCTTCGATTCTCTCAGTGATTTGACCAATATCGATCTCGATATCGATCTCAGTGGTTTCGATAAGGAGCGAATAATGGAGGAGTTCGACGAGTTAAGGGGCAGATTTGAGAAAGCCATCCTCGAGATCAGGGCTATGAGGAAGGAACTCAGAGAGGCCCATGCTGCTCAGGATGCAGCTGAGCTCGAATTATTCGCTCATGGTCAGGACAATCAGAGAATAATGGAGACTAATCAGGCGCAGGTGCAGCTCATGGCAGCGAGAATTCAGGATTTGACGAATAAATTGGCAACAAGTGAAAAGCAAATGCGACAGCTCAAGCAGAAGATCACGAAGACTGAGGGTAGGGACAAGAGGCGATCGCTGTCTCTCAAGGGTAGAGAGTCGTTCTCCATTTCTCAAGAGGTCGAGGACAAGTTGATGGAGCTGGAGAACAGGGTGATGGCTATGGAGAAGAGTCAGGTGTTGGGATTGTCTGGGTGTGTTAAGAAGGAGAAGAGGGACAGGGGCGTTGAGAGGACGAGGCTCAGGCGAAAGTCATTGGACAGTGCCACTAGCTCAGAACCCATGAAAGTTCTCATTCGACTTACGACACTCGAGAGAAAAATCGCTGGGGTTGAGAGGGAGAGTCAGAGCGATGGGGACAAGGACTCGAGTGAAAACAGCGATCTCAGTTCTAATTGTGAAGTCTCTGTGGAGATCCTGATGAGATTGAAGAAGCTGGAGAGGGCTGTGGGAAAGTCGAAGAGATGCTTGGAGAAGTGTTTGCGATCGAGTCAGATCGAGGAGAAGGCTGAGAGGTGTGTTCGAGAGGTCGATCACATCCTCGATTCCTGTTTCGAGCTCAATGTCCAGAGTGTTAAGGAGGCACCTTCTTCTCAATTAATACGAGATGCTGTTTCCAAATTTGAGAAGGCACTCACTGATCAGCTGATGGTGCTCACCAGTCGTCGACGACAGCTTCAGGACAGTGGTGATCTCAATGAACGGGAGAAACAGCGGTTACTGGGTGAGAGAGTTGCTTATGAGTTCCTGGTGATTAGACAACTGAAGTCTGCGGTGATGGGGTTGTCTATTGGTCGGAGTGGGTACTTGGGGGAATTGGTTGAGACTAGTCAATTGATATCAGCACTCAAGGCTAAGGTCGATGGAACCTCCAAGAGAAGTCAGAGCCTTCAGGGTGTTGATTATTCACTCTACCTGACGAATGTTCTCGAGAAGAGACGAAAAGAGAGGACTGATAAGTCACAGGAATTCGTGGAGTTGAGGGAATTCCTGTTGCAGCAGCAGAAGCAGGTGGACGTGCTGATGCAGAAGTACAAGGGGACGAGGTTCATGGAGTTGGCAGTGGCATTGGCAGGTGAATCCCTGGATTCTCAAAAATCTCTCAAGTCAATGCTGGATGACGAGAGAATTCGAGATGTTTGGGCACTAGCTCAGGAAATCATTGACAAGGAGATGGTTCAGGTGGAGGTGTCTCATTTTATGGTACGCTGTGCTCAGATTTATGAGAGCAGTTCGACTGACGTCAGTCTGGATCTGGAGCCTGAGGGGGTGGCTCTCGAGGATTGGTGTGACCGAGTGAGGATTGAGCTGCGTCGGGAGATGGAGATGTCTGTCCAGGAGATCAGGTCGATGTACAATGAAGCTGTGGAAAATGGCAATGAGCGTGTAGAGGTCGGGGACTCTAGGGCACTCCTGGCTGAATACGCGGGGATTGTTGCTCAGAAGGCTCTCGTCGACGCCAGGATATCAATTCTGATGGGTGGTGAAGAAGGAATCGGAGGGAAAGAGTCTAAAGACATTTTTACGTTTGAAGGTCTCCCTCTGGTGTTCAGTGGAGACAAGATTGAGAAGCCTGTGGCGCCTCAGGACTTCCTGGACATCTCGAACTCTGAGAGAGGTCTGAGGGAGTCAAAAGGTGAGAGAAACAGGGGCTCCAAGGAATTTGGAACGATCGAGCAGTCTCTTCTGTATTTGGAGAACGATTTGAAGGAATTGGGGGAATCCCTGAGGGATAAGTTGAGAGCCAATGGCGAGGGAGCGCTGTCGTCTGTTAAATTTCATAAGCCCAACGATTGGGCGGGAATTTATAAAAAGTGTCGAGAGCTCCGAGAGCATATTCAGGTGCTCAATGATTTTATAAAGAATTTTGCGTGCAAACAGTGCGATGCACTTCAAAAATCAATAAAGTGCATTAATGTGGAGCATAAGGAGGAATTGATGCTCTTGAAGATGAGCCAGGAGAAGGATATGATGGAGATGAAGAGTGAGATGGAGAGCCAGAGGAGTTCACTGTCGTCTCAGTACGAGCATGAGGCAGCTAGTTTGAGGGAACGGGCCAGGAAGTTGGAGCAGAGATTGAATTTTATGGATTCTGAGCACTCGGCTCATATCAATGAGCTCAGGGCCGCCTATCAGAGATCTATCAGTGCTGAGCTTGATACTGATGTTGAGACCAGGAGGCGGTACAAGGAGGAGATCAAGCAGTTGAGGGCGCTGTGTGAGAAGGGGCTCATGGCAATGGAGAATTCTCATCGGCGAATTATCGCTGAGATGGAGGAGAAACACCGACAGGAGCTTGAGAGCCTCAGGGTGGAGAAGGAGCAGGCGCTCTCTGAAGAGACTCAGGCAACACTAGCTGCTCTTGATGCCATGAGGAAGGCACATGAGCACGAGGTCAAGAAGGAGATTACCAAGTTCAAGCAGGAATTTATCAAGCAGATGCAGGCTAGAGAGGATATCGGATTACTTCATAGAGAACATGAGTGAGTGGATTTTTCACGTGTACTATTTATTTATTCTACATCATAAATATTTTTTATGATGCAAATAGAATAATTATTACAACATTCCCCTTGTTTTGATAATAAATATAAATTTCAGGGAAGAAATGGAGGAAATAAAGCAAGAGATTCTCTCTCTCTCGGCGAAATACTCGTCGAAGTGCGTGGAGTCAGCGGCTCTGGAGGAAAAAGTGGGTTCTCTGACAAAACAAGTGGCTCAAGCTAAGCAACACATAATCCAGCTTGATGCGAGGAATAAACAGCTGCGAGCTCATCTCGTGCTGGAGGCGAATGAGGGTGGAATTGCTGAGCAGAGGGAGGAGATTCACAGACTTCAACACCAGTTGAAGGTAAATCTTGTAATTGTCCATCAATAATTAACATTAATTGTTGGATAATCTGACTGACGATCTCTTCAGTAATTTTCTTCATTCACACGTCACACTCTTATGATTTTTTTTACTATTTTTTGCAATTTGTGTGTTGTTCTTTTTTTTTTTTTTTTCTCGTATCATTTTCACTAACAGCATGGGGAAGCGCTCACAGTCATATCGAAATCCACATATTCACCCTATCATAGTAGTCCGGAGACTGCTTGTAAAAGAGATAAATGCACTGAAGCCATCGCACAACAGACCATAAGAATCAGCAATGCACAATTATTGAAAAATACTGGGGAACAGTCGACAAGTGCACAGTATCGATGGGATAGCATTAAACCGAGGACCAGTCATCAACATCGATATCAAGGTATAGATTATCGATGCTGGGAATTATTTAGCAACTGGTGGTGGTAATGAATTTTCGTTTTAATCAGGGAAACAATTTTTTGTGTCATAATAATCGATATAAATTGGATGATAACGAGAAATTGATGGAGGGGATTTTTTTTTGGTTTTTTTTTTTGGTTGGGGACTTGGGGGCTGGGGCTTTGGGAATTCATTGTATATTTTGTTATTCCAGAGCTGATGAGATCGCCATCCGTGCGATGGTCTGGCCGAATTTGCAGAAGTCTTCCGCCAACTCCGATCCTGGGATATCAGAACTCAATTTATCCTTCGTTGAGCTCAGTGGGAATGGTTGCGGAGAGAAAAAAAAGATTTGAAGTGTGAAAGTAATCAGTGAATTTCAAGATTCATTCGTTAAAATTAGGAGAGTGTTTATCAAAAAGGCGCTAATGGTAGAGTTATCGGAATTTTTGGACGGATTTTTTTTTTCATTCATTGGGTTCAATCACTAATTTGGAAGAAACGGGAGTCAAGGGATTTTTCTTCTCTCGACTGACGTTAAATATACATCTATGTATATGAAACATGTATACCAGGTATTGTACCATCCAAATCTATCTGTCACTTTTTTATTGAACGTATTTATGTGGTAAATATGATTCAATGATTATTTGTTGACATATATTATTAACAAATCAATGTTATTAATGATGCACACCATTTATTGGAGAAAATTTGTTGGTGAATGCGCGTTCACGGGCATTTTTTTTTACACATATTATTCAGTAAAATTGACAAATAATTTTTAGTTATGAGAAAAGTTATAAAATTATCACCTCCAACGGTTTATTAATGAATTTCAATTGTGATTGTAATCATTAAAAAATTGTTGGTGTTAATTACTTAATTAATTAGTTAAAAATCATTAACTGCATGATCCAAGAGATTTATTATCCATTTATTGAAATTGTGTATAGATTCTTCGAGTCATGTTTCACCTTGTTATTGTCATTGAAAAAAAGTAAATGGTTAAACTTTTGTAAATGATTCATGTTTAATTGACAGATTGCTCGTTTTAATAGTCAGTTATTTTTTAACGATAACTAGAATTAACATGATTGTTTATATATCTGTTGAAACGAACAAAGTATTTATTTATATTCATTATTTAGATAAGTGTTTCCAGTGACAATATCAGTAATTACATTATTTACCAATGAATTTGGAAGATATTGCTCAGAATTGTTTAACTATTTGTAGTTATTTGTTTGTACCATAGTTATAGGAATAATTTCAAATAGAAACAGCAATTTAAATGTCTCGGTGGGTTATTTTTATCTCTGTGGGGGGTTACCATAGTGATACGTTCGGGGCTATTGCTGATATTTTTGCAGCTCCTGTCGTCGACGCAATTTTTGCCGATTTATTTTTAGTCCAAGAATTTTCCGGTGAATAAAATTGAGAAATGGCTAATTGGGGGGATAAGAGGGTACAGGGGGTGGAGATTATTCCACCACCCCCTCCGAGATTCACCATGAGCGAATGGTCCCTCAATAATCAAGAAAGGTAATTGAAAATCATTGATTAATATTTTGATCTTGAAAATTCAGGTGAAGTTTCTTTTTTTTTTATTTGTTAATTAATTTTTTCGTTTAGGCACAGGGCGTGCACCACCAACTGCGAATTAGTCGAGAGTTTAATTGAGGAGTCACATCGTCTCTGCGACATGACCAACGAGAAGACGAGGAGAAATAAATTGGCAACGGATCGCGAATTGGAGGGACAGAGTGAGAATATTAAATTCTGCAGGGACGAGCTACTTCGGGCTCGGAAGAAGATTGTCCTGGAGGTCGACAGCCTCTTCGCGTACAAATCCCGGATCACCGATGCCCTGGCGTCAGTCAGGAGGAATGCAGCTGTCATCTGCGAGAATTGTCTCATCTCCAGGTATTTTTTTTTTCATTCAGTCCTTCAATTAATTAATTACCCAGTGATATAATAAATTGAAATGGTTTTTTTTTCAGGGAACATCGTCGAGGCATTGATTTAACTCTCGATGAAGTCGACAAACAGCTACGGATGGAGCTCAAGGTCATCCACGGTGCGGAGACGACGTTCACTCGTACTCTGGAGGAAACATCTGAGGAAATCAGGGCTTTGAAATCCATTTTGTACTCCGTCGATCGAAATCTTCAGGACAAACACCAGAATTTCATCGTCGAGCGGGAAAATTTGAATATCAGGGAGACCAGTATGAATCTTTCGATTTATCATGGGACGTCGTCACTCGATTCGTCGTATGTATTTTTTTTTTATTATTATCTAAACAATTTTAATATTCAATTATGGATAATAATAAAAATATCATATTATTTAGTCTGTTGAATTCATAATTATAATTGTTAGAAGACTTTTCGAAGTGGATGAAGTCAAAGAAATATTTATGTATGTTATTTATTTTTATTATTGCAGAACTCTCACGATGCAAGAATGGGAAATTCTCTCGAATGAATTAATCACCGACGGCAAGAAGGAATTGAACAGCAGTAAATTATTGCGCAATTACGTCGATACAATTCTCCGGGAGATCACCAATGATCTCAATGATCAAATCACCACCACCAATGATGCCTTCCAGCAGAGAATCAGAGAAACGAAAGAGGCAAAAATGGAACTCGAGTCGCAACACTCAAAGGTATTTAATTTTCTTAATAATACAACAATTAATCGAAATTATTAGCTCAGTTGGGAAAGCACCAGATGCATAATCGGAAGGTCTCGGGTTCAAATCCCGGACTGGACTATCCATTTTTTCAGTTTTTTTTTTTGTAAAAATTATATCCAGACTTATCCTGCTTTCCTTCCTACATAATCCAAATCCTATCCAACGACTCCTTTAACGTCACAAAAATATGGAAGGCTGTAGTATAATATAATATATTTTTTATGTTAGTAATTTTAATGGTGATTTTAAAATTTATTTGTGGAATTTGTTTAGATAATTGAGAAGGCCAATGACATGACGATGAATATCGCTCGACTCCAGAAGATGATTGCTGAGAAGGAGGGCTTCATCGCCCTGAATCACACGCGATTGGGCAACAGGTGTCGACGTCCTCAGCTGGAGAGGACAGCTGATGCTGTTGAGAGACAACTCCTGTCTGAATGTGCAGATCTTTCTGATTCTGTCACTCAATTGCAGCAAACCCTCCACGAGGTACAAATTTCAAATATTAAACTCCAAAAAAACGGCAATTTTCCAATAATTAATTAATTTGAAAAACATAATGAAAGCTCTTGGTATTTTTCAATTTTTTTTAATAAGAAAGTTTCTGGCGCTTCTGAAAAATTCAGAATAATTAACTCATTGAATTCTAGAATGAATGAACGATTTTTAATGATTTATTTATTTATTACAGACACAGGCAGCTCTGCGGTACCTCCTGAAGACTCAAATTCAAGTCGAAGAAGACATAAACGTCAAGGTCAACACCCTGAAGATCGACGAAGTGGAGTGCATGGGGATGAGGGAATCATTGAGCTTTCACGCCTATTAAAAATTCATCATAATTCCAAATTATAATTGAACTCATTGAATCACTGGGCATCTCTATAGCCAGGAATGAACGAGTGACATTCGCTACTTAATAAACAATTAAACAAATCGACTTGTAATCACAATTTTCAACAAATGTAATTGAAATTCACTGCTATATCCCTGTATAAATAATGTAATGTGTAAAACCTATGCAATAAATGAATAAATCGATTTTTTATAAAACATAATTGTCTGTGTTTATTTTTCCCTCGATTTTTTGCCGCAATAAAAAAAATAGAAATAAAAGATAAATATAAAAATAAAAATGTCCAAACATATTTACAAGAAATTTGGAAAATCAAAAGTAGAAATTTTCAAAATGGATATTTTGGAGTCCAGTAGAGTTTAAATGATGGAGAATCGCTTTCCAAGCGGGGTTGAAGAGTCTAGGGGGGGGGGCCCACATTTCAAGGATTTTGCTCATAGGAACCGAGATATTTGCATTTTTCGTTTTGGAACGCTGGAAAAAAAAGTGCATATTTTGGACTCCAGTAGGGTTTAAATGATGGAGAATCGTTTTCCAGGCGGGGGTGAAGAGTCTAGGGGGGGCCCAAATTTCAAGGATTTTGCTCTAGGACCCATAGGAACCGAGATATTTGCATTTTTCGTTTTGGAACGCTGGAAAAAAAAAGTGCATATTTTGGACTCCAGTGGGGTTCAAATGATGGAGAATCGTTTTCCAGGCGGGGGTGAAGAGTCTAGGGGGGACCCAAATTTCAAGGATTTTGCTCTAGGACCCATAGGAGCCGAGATATTTGCATTTTTCTGTTTGGAGCGCTGGAAAACATAAAAGTGCATATTTT